AACAGAATTTGGTGAGAGTCGGATGTGGTGCAACGACAGAAAGTTCAGTGACCATTAAGAGGCAATTAGAAGTTCAGTGAGTAAGTCGTGACCATGTTAAAGTTCAGTGACTATTCAAACAACTTACTCAATAGTATTGGTTTCTAGTCCGTCTCATTATGCTAATCAATTTCCATTCTTCAATGTTTCATTTTCAATTCATCAAGAATGGGATAGTAAAATAAAAAATATATATTAATAACTTGTTTCCTTTTACTGTTATTCAATATATTAATGTGAAATAATAAATAAATTGTTCACTTGTCATATTTGAACATTTTCTAGTACCGCTCATACTATTGTTAAAGCGGAACCGCAACCCACAATGTTGCGCTTAACACTCTTCGAATAATACCTAAGAGGAATTTGCACTAGATGTAAATTTTTGGCTTTACATTTACAAAAATGTCAATTTTTAAAAGTATTTGCAAGATAGTCAATTTTGTACATTTTTGCCCCTCTAGATAAATTAAATGTCTGACATGTCCTTCATTAAATGAGAATTGACTTGATGAGAAACTTGTACAGAAAATGTGTAAGTTGTCAGAACATTGTATCAATTTTGGAGAATAAAAAAAAAAGGAAAAAAAAAATCAAACCCCTAAACTCACGCCACTGCCCAAAAGAGAATAACCCAACCCCTGAACCTGAACTCACTCTCCTCTCATTCGAATCGTCGGAAATCCCCTTTGCCGTCGACTACCATCGCTCAAAGAAATAGAACCCCTAAACTCACTCCATCGCCCAAAAGAGAAGAACCCAACCCCTGAACTCACTCTCTTCTCATTCGAATCGTCGGAAATCCCCTTTGCCGTCAACTACCACAGCCCAAAGAAAAAAAGACCAACCCCTCACTCAGTCAATTCACTGGAAAAAGAAGAAACCCTGAACTTGCTCCCCTCACCGAATTTCCAGTCGACTAGCACCGCGAAAACGTCCACCGTCGACGAAGACCACCAAAAATACATTTGAAGCCATCATTCAAACACTCAATCGACTTTGTGGGTGGAAGATAAGGAATCAGGCCAATTTGCAGCCGAGGTAAGAGGTTTTTTGTGCAATGTCTGTCGATTTTTTTTTAACTTTTATTGTTTTGAATTTATTACATCGGAGGGAAAATGAATTGTGTTGATTTTGGTACCAAACTAATTGTAGTTATTGTGATTATATTTTGTTATTGCATATATGAGAACTTAGATAAATATATTTTGTTACTGCATATGTGAGAGCATTGTACAATCCGTCGGTAAATTGCACGTTCTGCTAACTTTAGTTACATATTTTATTTTCAAATATGAAAAGTTTAATTGCATTGTTACAAAGATTGGGAGGAATTCGAACTTTTGTATTTACAAATAGAGTGTAATTTCTTGCTGCTTCAGTGCTTCAAGAATTCCAGATTTAAGGTGCTCCTCCTGCTTTTATATGGTTGTCAAACAACATTGAACTTCTTTGTCCTTGTCACTATCTCTGTTAATCAATTCTTTTATCTCTACTTGAAAACGAAGAATTTCTCTGTTTAGCAGAGTTTCAAATTTTTTATCGCAGTCCTTGTGAATCTGTGACTGTGTCCATGTGATGTAAGAAAAAAGCATTAAGCATTACTATTGTATTTCTTATCAGTATGAATTCGAGTGGTAATAAATATAGGTCAGACATGAGCTAGAGTTACAATATGATTTACAATTTCATAACAACACTTGCACAAAGCAAAATATTCATTTTGTTTGGTAGGAGATAAACTACACTCGAGAGAAAGAAAAAGAAACTAACTTTTTATCGAGTGTTGTTCAATTCTACATAACAAATATCGCTCACGATGCATGAACATTTCATGTCAAAACTACCTAACAAGCCGTGGAATTAGGTGGATCCCATTGCCTCAAAATAGGCTTTCTCTGCAGCAGACATGCGATCTCAAAACATTGCCCACTCATTTATGTACCTCTCTCTTACCTATACCAAAAATAAACAAAGGAGGAGTAAAGTTTAAAATTCTTCACACCTGAGGTCAGCTCTCAAGCTTTCACATCACATTTGGCAGGCTTAAAAGTTAGTTAAGTAACTTTTTAAAACTCTTCACACCTGAGGTCAACTCGCAAGCTGTCACAGCACATTGGGAAGGCTTAAAAGTTAGTTAAGTAACTTTTTATTTCCAAACATAGTCGAATATGTCACTTTTTTCTTAATCATATGAAGAGCAAGATATGCATACATTGAGAAGATAATAAAAGACTCGATTATAGTCAAGTTAACCACGTACCCCTTCCCATGGTGCCTTGCTGTTTTCTGCCTTCACCATGTGTTTTCTTGGAGTGCTTTAGTGCAAACACATGGTGTTCTAAATACATAAACGAATGACATAAATATTAACAATGTTGAGTAAATGCTACCTGTACTTTATTAGGCAAACTCCAAATATTACGACTTTGGGCAATTATATCATTCCCGCCAATATATAAATTTTTACCGCTTTGAAGTTTTTGAATTTGTACATTCTTTTCTTGCATGCCAATGTATTGAATATAGATGTCAAAAATAGTTTTGTAAATAGGTCAACTACTTTATCACCCGAGCGACTAATGAGATGCACGTACATAGTGTAGTTGGCTACGTAATAGTGTGGAGAGACGGTTGTCATTTTCGAGACGTCACCAACTAAATCTTATTTAGTAATACTGACTATAATATCTATATGAGTTCTTGATTGTAGATAGTGTTCCATTTCTGCTCTGGATACAGTAAATTTGTTGGTATATCATTTATTTCCTACAAATGCTCAAGGACTTGCAATTTTTAATGAATGATCTCTTTCTACACCTATTTTACTAACACTAATCATTATGTTTTCGGCACAGACACTTCAATGTGTAAGTAGATATATTGAACCTGGAAAGTGTAAAATATGAAAGTCAACTCTATTTTCATTTGACACTTTCACCTCATTCTTTGTTTGCATCTAAAAATTTGGATAATAAAAAATAGTTCTTTTTTTTAGAGGAAGTTTACCCTTTAATATAACTATACTGGAGTGCTATTTTACAAGATTCTATTTGTGCAGTAATTTGACCATTTTTCTTGGAATCAATAGACACAAAAACTACTATATGATAAGAAAGAGTGTCATTCATAAGCACAACTTATAAGATACAAGAATTTTTTATCGGCAATTTCAAAAAGAGAGTCATGATCAAGGAATCAATTTCAAACAAATTGTGTTAATGCTTTCCAAATGAATCTTAATTAATAGACTAAGACAAACTACAAAATAACATTCTTAGGAGCAAACAAAGGATGATTTATACATTTCAAAAGCATCACTTGATACGCCATCATAGTTAAGTTACAAGCTAAAACATCACGAAGCTGTTATACATTCTTGCTAAGCTCAAACTTCATGGAAGAATATTCATGCAAAAGTAACACTACAAAATAAAACAAAGTTACAAGTCAAAAGGATCATGAAGTTCTTGTAATCGGTGCAACAAAATAAAACAAAGTTGTTCGAAGGTGGCTACGGTAGAATCATGAAGTTCTTGTAATCGGTGCAACAAAATAAAACAAAGTTGTTCGAAGGTGGCTACGGTAGAATCATTTAGATGGAGATGACAAAACAAGCAAATCAAACTTTTAGGTTGTAGCATCAATGTTGTCTTCAAATACACACGACGATGATTAGTCGAGTTTTTCATTCGTTGTAACTTAATCATCTTCTGAGCTGGGGGTAGTGATTTTTGTCTCAACTTTTATGTAGGGAAGTACTGGTTCGCTTGAAGTTTGGAACAACGATCGTTTTGCAGATTATGGTGACACTTCGTGATTATCATAATTCTTGTTTACCTCTACAAGGCATTGAAAATCTGTCTTTCTCACTTGATTGTTCTACTCCATCAGTAATAGTAGAGAATGCATTAATGAAAGCTATCTATCTAATTAAAAACTAAAATAAATTTAATAGTCGCAAACTTGTACATCTAACCCATGTACAATAATTACACATGTTATATTGTCGTTTTCCTGCTCTAATCATAATATAAAATTTCATTTCTTAAATCCACACTTAAAATTATCTCAGATTATCGTAGAGGTAAGAAAAAGTCTCGAGACGAAGAAACAAGAATATTTTTATGTTGGAACTAAAAGATGTCAAAATATTCGGGTAGGTTCCTAGTGAGTTCTTGCATGACTCGGAAAGGACCGAGCTAGAATTTTAAGGGTTTAGAGTTTGGAATTAAGTCCATAGAGGTACAGAGTGATATAAGGAAGCACAGAGAAACAAGAAAATGGGGAAGGGAGACCTATGGGACGATTCTGCTCTCATCAACGCCTTCGAGGACGCAATTTCCGAACACAAGGTTCCTCTGATTCTCTATACACACAGGCATAAATACATTCTTGTACACGTATTGTACTTTTATATGCTAACATTTTTTTTTGGTAGACGATGCACGGGGTGGGAGGCCGAAATGGGTCTGCTGAGGGAGGAAAACCCATTACTAGTAATGAGGAAATTTTTGAAGTTGTTAGCAAGAGCAGTGAAGTTAGCTCCTCTGTTGGGTAAAGTTTTAGTTCTTTAAATTTTGGATGAAGTTTAAAATTTATGTGCAAGCTTTAATGTCGCAAGTGACTAAAGAAAATTGTAATTCGAATTATTTTGTGGGAGGAATTACTAATTCTTTTGTATGTAGAAGGAGTAAAAAGTAGACTTTGGATTGTGTTGGGAAGTACATATTTGATGTTCTTCATAATTCAAAATTTATTTATGAATTGTATCAACCAATTGTCGAGAGTTTGAAATTGGAATGTAGATATAATCAGCTCATTCAAAATTGAACATAATTTGATTTTTATACGATCTTGAAGCCCTAACTCCATGCATCGAAGGGGATGCGGTTGATAATGGGATCAGGAAAAGATACATGTCGAAGTTAATGTGATTTTTATTGTTTTGGTATTATTTCCAATAGCAAAGCCCAAAATTCTACAGTAATTGTTTCGGTAAAAACATTCAGGTTTTGCAACAAACTTTTCTCTGCTTCTTGGCCTCCATTCGACTATGCCAGCAAGAAAGGGTAGCGTATTCTCTGGGTCCACCCCGATGCTTACGTAATTGACAACTTTTTTGAAATGTCTGAATGTATTTTCTTTATATTGAAAGTTGTGACTTACCTGGAAGGTTCCCTAGGAACGGATTTTATACTTCAAACTTCCATCTGTGGCTGGATTTATATGCTGCCCAAGGCATTGACTGAGATAAGGTGCACTCTGCTTGTAATCATCTTTTTTCCTGATCTTTTCGACTAAAAGTACTTATCTCCACCCTTCATGTCGAGCAGTTGATCTAGAATTCTAGTTTGCTCACAATAGGCTGTGGGATGGACTATTCCTAGAGCCCTCCCTCAATGCAGGTATCTTGGCTTGTCTTCAAATAAAGTTTACGAGGACTTAGGTTGGGCATTGAGTATGTATTGATTAAGGCGGGATGATATTTTTTATCCATGTCCGGAACAAACACGTATAGTTTTTCTTTTGGGAAGATGTGGTGCTTAAAATTGAATTTGAAGCCCTGATGCAACGCGAATAGCTAGCAGTTTTTATAGAGCATGAACCAAGATTAAACTAGGAAAAAAAATATTTTTGTACTGTTTTGTGCACCGTGATCACCTTGATATTTTTCACATAAGGCTTGAAAGTAATTTACTTACTTTCCACATCTAAAGAGGCAAAGTGAGATGCTCTTTATATCTCATGTAGTTTAAAGAGTAAGAAATAGAAGAATATTTGAAGACATTGGAGATATAAATTCAAGGTTAGAAGGGATTTGTCAGAAGCCTGTGTTTTAGGACCCTAAGGAGATGTTCGTCTTGTTTGGATCTATTGAAAATTCTTCCAGACTATACCGACTTTTTATCCCTGTACACACAACACTCACCTCAGTATTTTCTAAGTATTTCTGCATTTCCATCACAATGGCCTGTCAATATAATTTCTTTTCGTAGTACCCTATGTAACTTTTCGCTACACGTGAAATCCAGCGAATACTGGCACTACCTTGAGCAGTTTAATACTTCACGTAAATTTGTTAGATGCTAATTTGACGGTGATATGATGTATGAGCTTTAAAATCATTATCTACATGCTAATCTTTTTATTTCTTTTGCATCTATGAAGACTTTTGGAGGCAGATAATGGCAAGAACACGGCATTAAATGCCACTGCAGAAATTGGAGAGACTAGCAAACTTTCACCGATTGAGGAACATCCTTCTGCGGAGTCAGATTTTCCTGAAAAACATATAGTTTCATCCACTGTGCAAAACAGTAACCTTTCACCTGCCGAACAAAATTCTGCGGTGGAGTCAGGTTCTCCAAAGAAAATTTTAGGTTCATCCAATGCGCAAAATCTTCAAGATGAGGCCACATGGTACTCACAAAGTCCAGAAGACTACAATCAGTTACTGAACAAATATTATGAGCTCGAGAGTCAGACACAGAATATTCTCCATAAACTTAATCAATTCAGCAATTGGAGCTATGAGCATCCTGTATCTAGTACATTCACTCCTGAATATAATCAAGCTTCTGTTGCCCAATCTTCTAACCAAACAGTTAACTGCTACTGTCCATATGGCTGTCAAAGTTTGGTGGCCTGCTGCTCCTCGTTACCAATTCATTGTTCAGATGGTGCTTGTGTTGATAAAAATTGTGATACTTCTAGAGGTGATCGTAATGGGAATTCAGCATCTCAGGAAGATCATGGTTTTGTTAAAACGGCAATGGTTGCTGCAGAAAGAGCACTTTCTTCTCTTACAAATGAAACTTCCCAGAAGGCTGATGCATCTGTAAATGGAGGTAAGACAACTTTCCTGCTCTCTTTATGTCAGCCAATAGCTCTCATTATTTGGCTTTGACATAGGGGACGTTCAAAATCTTGGAATAGGAGTGTAGTGACTGAAATTTCTTTTATGTACCTAGTTTGTTCTGAGAGGTGGCCAATGACCAAATGTGGTATGTTAAATTTTGAGAATGTTGACTCTAAGTGCAAAACTGGGGGGAAACAAAAAGTTCCTCATTCTTGAATCCATAATTACTCTTGATACCATTAAGAATCGTGTTTAATAAAATATATTAAGTAGCAGCTACTAGGCTCCTTTATAACTGTGGAGGCTCTGATGTGGCTCTACCCTAGACAACTCTTGATTTGTTATGTTCACATATTAGACGTGATTCTAATAATGTCTCTCTGTCTCTCTTTTCCAAACCTACCCCCTCCATCCACTTTTTGATATTTTAGGCTGTCACA